AGTGCCGGCCCTTCAAGTATGGTGTTTATAACAACTTGCCAATAAAGTTGCAGCTCATTGGATAAGTAACTATACCTTATTCTTTTTTTTATAGAAAAAGAAACAGAAAACATGCAATGATTAGGATCTCGTAACTATAATTTTCGTTGAAACGCACCAAAAAAATTGCGCCCGCGCGAACACACATTATAAACCTTCTTTCAATGATTGTTTTCCACCGAAAGATACAATTTCAGGTTTGGAATTATTTCACAGGGTATTTGGTACCATCCTTACCTTCACCTTGAGCAAGATTTCTCTCATTAAATCGGTAGGTACATTTCAGGATAAATTACAAATGTTCCTCGTGCCTTGAATTTTTTTTTGGAGTAGCACGTAAGGGTTTCCATTGGGATTCCACGTACCATGTGCAACCCGATATAACAGCAAGCAGTTAATTTTTGCCAGAATCGCTTTTCATCCAAATATCCAATGTCGGCCGCCTGCCCATATGTCAGCACAAAATTAATAGCGATACGTTATTTGAACAGCTACAGACAAACTGTTTGTTTCGTGCACTGAAGAAACTGTGTTGCCGTGCACGCATCAAGATTGCCGTTCCCTTGTATATATACACATGTAATCTAATATAGCTCTATGACTCCACTTCAGCAATACGAGATCGGCCAAAATGCACCGTGTTCACTGAGTTGAGAACATTTGCGAAAAATTTCTTTATGAAAACCTGCTGCGCATTCATCCCGTGAACATAAAACACTCGTACTTGTATTTTTGAGACAAGTGTCCCCGAAAAACAGGAATGAAACATAAAATCTTTAAAATAATTAAGGAAGCAATATAAACAAAAATTCTTAGCCTATCTTGCAGGGATTTGGTTTTTTTTGTGAAAAAAATGTTGCAACCCGACGCCACTTCCGCGATTGTGTACAAAGTCTTTGGAGAGTCATGAAAATGTTCAAAGTATTTCCTAGGAAACGTTTCTCAGTCCCGTGCAGATTCATGTCATCATCATTTTTGCAATGAATGACCTTCATTGAGATGATATGAAGAAAAAAGTGGCGTCAGGTTTTTCTCGTGAAGTGATTGAAGGGTCTCTCATAGATCCAGGAGGATGATGTGAATGATTTGCTCTCCATAAAAAAAACTCTTGAGGCTATATGCACACGTCCGTGTACTTCAAACCAAATGAGCAATTACGCGGACACCTTAAATAAACTACCTTAGCGACAATCGGTAATTTTGTAATTAGCTTAAGTTCGTCTTCTCCAACTTAATACAGATTGTATGCCCGTTGGTTATGTCCGACTCCTGATCTTATTTTGATAGATGGACCATGCATTAATTCCCATCATTATGTTGATTGTTGCTTCTGGCAAACATGAATTACTACCCGTCATCCAGTCCATAATTTATTGGAAGCGAACTTTTCCAAGGAACATACAATGTATCTTACGATAAGACTTTGCCTTTGTATATAGACAAATTATTTTCTTTCTGCTATATAACTTGTTTGTCGTGATACTTTTATTGGGGTTTAATATGCTAATAATAAATGACCTATCGCGGTAGAATAGCGATAGATTCGCGTCAACGCATCTTGTGAAATATCGTTCAATTACATGATATACAAACGGACGCGGAAAGCGCCAAATCTGACACAAACAAACCCAAGTACATAGAAACTCCATAAGGGGCGTGGCTAACTCGCAAACTTTGTTAAAACTCCCCAGCTCATTTTAAGAACATCTTAAAAACACCCAATGCTTGAGGAGTGATCTCTCTTACCTAATGTCTTGGCCGTTTTGACCTCGGCAAGATGCATTCCTGATTTCTTCTGTTTCCTCTTCGAGGCAGCTCGGCGAACAAGACACCATACTTTCCGTCGTGTCCTAGCTCTTTGCTGAGACAGTGCCTTGACCTTGGATGAGTGGACTAGCTGGGCATTCGACGCAGCTCCGTCTGGATGCCTCGCGGTGATGGTAGAACCATGAAATCGATGATTGCTGTCCGTGTCATGACTAGGATCCGAGGCCGATCGATGGGTTCCGGTATGCCTTACCCTAGCTGGAGCCCCATTCTTCCGGGGTAGCGATCGTCGAAACTGCGCCCCCTTTTTCGACAGACGGTAAATTTTACAGTAGACTGTTAGCATGACAACAAGGGGGATGTAGAAGGACCCTAGGGCTGAGCAGATTACGTATAGTCGGTCTTGGTCGTACGTACACTGGTCGGTGATGTTGTTAGTTCTTTTGGGCCAGCCGAATATTGGAGGCGATGCGATGACGAAGGAGAGAAACCACACTGATAGGATCGTGAGGAAGGCCCGTTTATTGGTCTGTTTGGTGCCGTTCCTCAAATGAGAAGAGATGGACCAGTAACGATTGAGGCCAATAGTGCAGAGGTGGAGAATAGATGCTGTGCAACAGGACACGTCTACAAAGATGAAGAAATCGCAAGCGGCGCGACCGAAATGCCACTTACCGTCTGATAGCTCCACGTTCAGGGTAAGGGGTAAGACGAACAACGCGATAGAGAGATCGGCGATGGCCAGCGAGGCAAAGAAGAAATTCTCAAAGGTCCGAAGCTGTCGCTCAAGTAGCAGAGCCAGAACCACCAGGGAGTTGCCCAATGCAATGAGCACCGTGAGAGCGGTGAGCATTACCCCGATAGGCCAGCGCACTTGATGATCGACCTCCCTCTCTGGAGAGAATCCCCAACTCGTGTCATCATCATCCTCAGGGCTCAGGACGGAACCTAGAATCGTCCAGTTGCTGTCAAAGTACTGGAGGCCACCTTCAGACTCCACGGAAAAATATGATTCGTTTGGCCGCATCATGGGTAACGCCGCGCTAGTTGATGAGACGAATCCGATCCACCAGCCTCGTTGGCTGCTGCATTCGGCACCGCAGACTTATAAAAAGGAAGTTCTTGGGTTTTTTTTCATCCATAGTCCAGCTGCACGGTCACTAGGCCTAAGCTGATCGCTACGTGCTCCAAGACGCTAGTGTACTCGTGGCTCGATGTCTACACACCACATGAATGTGTAGTACAACATTAAATTCAAGCTGGAAATACGATCGCTTGTGTCACTCCTGTTCTATCCGGCGGCCATTTCCCGATATGTTAAAAAACATAAATTCCGTCATGATCCCCGCGCGCCCACCAGAGAGTTGTTGCAACCACTACATGTAGCTCCGTGCAATCATAGAGAAAGGACACATGGTGTAAAGATGATGAGTTACAACTACGTGAGTGCACGTGCTGTTGCATGCAGTGGGGGTTACTTGCGGGCGTTGAAGTCGAATCCGCACCCGCCGTGCTGTACATGCGTCAGTCGGCGGTGATTGCATCGGCACTGCTGCGCTGTCAGAATAAGCCGTTTCACAACTACAGAGGGCGGTATACTTTTGGTCAAAATGGGACTGATTCGATGCGGTAGTAGCCTCATTGTCAATCATCGATTGACAATCAAGCTAGCTGGTCACACTTGACGCACTCAAAACAAGAAACGAAAATTGTAAAAAAATTCCCCAAAACACAAAAACAATACAAAACAACGCAAACAGCTAGGGGTACCTTACTGAATTTTACTTTTATCACAATTATTCAAGGACTTCAGCTATAAATGTTACCTCTGACAATGTGGAAAAATGGAAGAATAGTACACTTACATTTTGTACATTTGGCCCTATGGAAGCTATTAAAATAAATACCGCACCAACATGCACAAGCCAAACCGATCTGAAATTATTAATAGATGACATGATAATATGTTGACAAATTTCAAGCAACATCATTGTTGGCTCTCATCAGGTTGGCGTAGCGGTACTTTCCTTGCCTTCCACCGCTGTGACCTTGGTTCGAATCCTGCCTGGGCCAATATGTGGATTGGGTTTTCTATCCCTGCCTGATTCCATTATTCTGGGATTTTCCTCCAACCACTCAAACTGTAATCTCTGTAAGGGACCCCACTGGAAATAAGTCAAAAGTCTTTTGTGGGCTACCCCAGCCTAGTGCCAAATATTCATCAATAAACAAATAAATTTCACCCTTCAACCATGAACTCAAAAACTCGTCTTCCCATTTGAGTTTTTGTAAAGACCTTCCTCCAATTTATTTAATATACTCTAAATAACCCTGAGGTAAAGGACAACACAATTTATTTACACCTTTTACAAAAGTTGAAACAAACATTCTTTAAAAAGAATTTAATGTAAGCCTGACGTCGTGCTTTATCCAGTGCTATCGACACAGGTCAAATAAAGAAACTGTAGTGCAGAGGATGAAATGACAGTCAGACTCATCACATACATGGACCATATTCCATGTTTTCCCAAAATATATTAAATGTTACGAGATATTTGCCTTCCTAACTGCAAGAGAATTTCTCTCTTGCAGTTAGGAAGGAGAGAGCTCAAAATTGATTGTGCTGGATCATATATATACAAAAATCTATTGATGTAGCCTCAAAAATGTTCTGTCCCAGACTGGGACAGGCCAACTTTACTCACTCTTTAGCCAACAAAAAATCTCCCAAATTTTCAGTTGGCAAAGACAAGGTCCTCAAAGACTAAATTCAATTTTTAAAGGAGAGTTGTCTTTTATATTTTGCATATGAGAGGGAAGTCAAGTGATTTCAAAATGAGGCTAAAGACTAGATGCTAAAGACTAGACTGGTACATGTCCATCCATGGTCCATCTGTTTGAAAAGACTGACCTCTTCATTCATTGTCATGAGTCTGTTGGCTGAATATGGAGAACAGTACCAGACATGCCAGATGCTTCTTTTGGCATAGTTGATTGATGCAGTACTGATAAGGGTTGTTGGACCGGTTGTTTCAGGTGCCAATCTATTTTCTTGTATTGCATGTTTCAATACCTTAAGTTTTTCATACACAGTATTGAGAGTCCCAAATTGTTGGACTAGTTCTGTGAAGTCTGTCCATGCTCGTCCAAAAATTTGAATTTTTGTAAATGTATGTTACAACGGACAAACTACCTGTACTTCTAAAGGCTTTTATTGGGGGTTACTTTTGCACTCAGATCACTCTGTGAGCAGGCTGCTAGGGGGGGGGGGGGAATTGGAAGGAACCAGTCTTACCAGCAAGGAATGAATTACTGTATGTAACTAAAGGGGCACTGCGTCCTGAAATCCACACAATTGTCATGTTTTGGATAGTCTACTTATCCTATTTCAAACATCTGGTTGAAAAGGAAACCAACACGTCTTACCGTTCCCCCGAAAAGAAAACAAAAACCTGGTTGTTTACATCGGACACAACGGAGTACAGATAGTTGTTCTTTCCCATTAACAGCATTTTGTTCAAAGCGAGTTTTGTAGCCCAATTGGCCTCATTCCAGGACGCAGTTTCTCTCTCAGCCTTTGTAAAATAAATTATTCAGTAACTAAACAGAGGCAATTAATCAACTTTGCACTGCTACAAAAATAGCAATTTCAATAAAATATATATATTTTGGGGTAGAAATAAAAAATAAAAAGACGGACAGTGCATAGTGCCCTCCACAATTTGTCAATGTCAAGTTAATGACCTATAAACACATGTGGTGATAAAATTCTCCACGTGGTTCCACCATGTGATTTTTTTGATAAGCTGCTCCGAGGGTTAAGAGAGGCGATGGAGGGCGTGAGCATGGGACAAAATGTATGATAAAGAATTAGTAGTTGACAACTCATGATTTTCGAGAACAAATACCTCCTTCCAGCTCTTCATGCAGATAAACATCCAAAATTCCTCCAACCAGCCCAACTGACAGTTCATATTAAACAAAGTTATATGCAGCATGTTTTGTAGTTCTGAGAGTCTTGTGTTCATTTCTTCTTGGAGCTCTTCTTTCCTTCCAGATCTGGGGAGGGATGACTGACTACTGTCATGGGCCTTGCTTCCCTCGATGCAGCCATGGCAACCACCTCCTTCTCGATGTTGCTCCCTATGGTTTTCTGCAGATTCTGTGTATGAAGAAGAAAAAAAAAGTTTCTGAATAGAAATTGACCATGGTAAGAGACATACATTACATCCATATCAGAAAGGTTTAAGATTGCTGACTCGCAAGTGAACATGGTAAATATGATTACACTTGTCAAAGTCGTGGGGGGGGGGGGGGGGAATGGGCGCAGCCAGCAAGGGGGGGGGGGAGGTGATTGTTATGGGGGTATTTGAAAAGACTGGCCTTTTCCATTCAAATGCCCTTTTTTCATCAGGACTCACCCACCCCCCATATTTGTAAAGAGTGACCTTCTTTTGTTAACAAGTGCCCTTGTTTTCTGAATAAGTGCCCTTAAAAAAAAAAAAGGGGTGCCCTTGTTTTTGTGCCATTGGCCATTACGGGAGCCTTTTTGTGTTTGTCACACATGTCACACATGTATCACCCACAAAAGCACCATATATTGTCTGCGAGTGTGCATAATCATTGGTTTTGAACAGCACCTCCATCGACAGATGGTACCAAGACCCCCCCCCCCCCCCTTTACGGAGGCAAAGTGTCCAGAGAAAAAAAAAGTGTCTACATTTTCAGCACGGATGTGCAAGTGCCCTTTTCAAGAAATTTTAGCCCCCACCCCCAAGCCATGTCCCCTCCCCCACCCCCCATCATATCGTTTGTCCCTCCCACTTTTTTGTCCCCAAATAAAAAGCCCACATTTGATTCTACAGCTCAGAATAGCTGATTCAATTACTTCAAACTCGAAAACGATGTTTAAATGATGATCTTTTGCTAAAAAACATATTGGTTAAAGTGGTAAGAAATTGACTCAGATCGCACCACAGAGCGACTAGAATCAACATTTTGTCAAAGCCCTTGAGCGGGCCCCAAATCCCATGCCATTACAGCTTTGTGCTTAACGCTCACATCAGTTCTGATCAAGGTATGTCCATATCCCCTCCTCCCCCCCCCCCCCCCCACTTTTGAGAAGATCTTGACGCCCTTGATCAGCCATAAACATACCTTCTTCAGTTTGGACATCTTCACTTCCTTCGCTTTCTTTGGAGCAATGTAACGACCTAAATTGTAAAAATCAAAATAAATAGGCTAAAATCAATTGACTGGTTTTGATATGCATGGTATACTCTGTAGAGGAATGAAATGGAAAAGTAACCTTTGTATGTTCATTTATGCATCTGTGTATTGGAGATGGGGTGGAAAGGGAAGAGAAAAGGTTGACGACAATTTCAAGGAAACTTTTCCCATGTGATGAATGCTTTCAAGAAATACTTTAGAAATAACTAGGTTTTCTTACCTCCCTTCTTGACTCCTGCTGCTTTCTTCTGATGGGAATGCTTTGCACTCTTTTTACCAGGAACTCCTCCTTTGATCTTTCTTTTCCCTTGTGGCATTTTCACTGATTTTACTGTTTACAGAAAAGAAACATACCAATTTAAATGTGCTTAAGTGCTGAAACTGTGTTGTAAACAGTTGGTTCCTGAGATACCTGCAACAGAAGATGTATTTCATTGACAGTGAATGTATAGGCCTACCTGCCATGTCATTATTCATGGTCATGCATTGTCATGCAAGTCGTTAGACCCCTGGACATGGCTATATACATTTTGTACACGTACATAGCCATGCTCCAAATACTCGGCGCACGAGATTGTATGGGTACTCAGACCCAGACGGCTCCTACCATTTCATGCATACATGACTCAGAGTACCACCGTGTCCCACTACCGTGCATGACCTCAGAAAATCACAAGTTCAGCTCATAGTAAAATGTACGTTTGTCGTGTCGATGTCGAGAACGAGGTCCTTTTTCCCCCCTCAAATTTCTTGGCAATGCAAGATCCTACACTCGCGTGAATTTACAGAAAGATTTGTATGCAAGTAGCCTACTCATCATAATGACGTGCCGTGTGACAATATCGAGTGTATATACGGATACGCAACACTGCGCGAGGACGGAACCTGGTGTTGTTTGTCCAATGCTACGTTCACGGGTGCATCATGTCATTGTCAATTCTGCATTTTTAGTTTTACATTAATTGATTAATAATCGCATGATGACGACTGGCAGTAGGCCTACGTCTCACAAGAGGATATATTTCTTGTTCAAAATACGCGCATGTTTTCTCAGTAATGATTACTTGAAAACATGACCAGTTGATTAAAAACAATTTCAATTTAAGATAAGATGTAAACTCACTCACTCACTCACTAAAGCACTGAAGCACGTGCTATGTTAAAATGTTGAACTTTAAATTAGGCACATCAATAAAAAAATATATACAATCATATTACCTAGCAATATTAAAAATAAATGTGGTCCAAAAATATTACAAAAAATATATAAAGAATACTCTATTAATATCAACTTTTTTTTCCTTTATTCTTTTTTTTTTCATTTGACATTCACGTTCTGTTTAGAATAAAAATGTACGAACGAGGACTCTTATTTAACAAGATGGCTGCGCACAGAGCGGACGCTGAGGGTGAAATTGTCTACGCCTGTATATCAAATATCCCGCATGAATTTCACTCTAAGAACCTTCGAAATTACTTTTCACAGTTTCTTGAGGTCGGAGGGTTCCAGTGTTTTCATTTCATTCACCGGCCTGAAGCGAAAATCTCTGAAAATGGGTTCAAAACCGCGGCTTCGTACCACTCGACGACGAGTAACGTTACGGCTTCGGATGACGTCACATCAGGGAAAGTGCGCACAGTGGACAGCAGCTGCAGAACTTTTGATGAAGAATGCGAAGAAGGCTTTCCGAGGCAGAACACTGGAGATATTGAAATCAAAACCAGAAAGAACAAGAAAGGCAGTGCACTGAATACTGGTGCTAAACAACAGACAACGACATGCTGTGTCATTTCGTTAACAGAATCCAACTTTGGAAAGCTTATGAAAATGTACTCAGGAAAGAACTGGGTGGACAGTGAAAGTTCCGTAATGGCACAGCTATGTCACATATCAAGAATAAAGGTTGTAGATGAAGACATCGACAAAGGTAGTCTAATCACACAATTGTAACTTTGGTTCAATTTTATTTCATAAAATGGTGAGGATGCAAAAGCAAATGATATTCCTGATATTGAGGTTTTCCAAGTCTTATCTGACACATGGCAGTGAACACAGCCATGTCGTCGAAGAGCTGACACACCGACGAATAAGCGAAAACTCTGTTCCAAGTAATTTAGGCAAAATAAAAAAAAAAACATGTTTAGCGTCCTGCCTCTTTGACAAAAAGGAAGGAGGAGGCCCTTTTTTTTTTTTTTTTTTTTTTTCAAAATGGCCGCCCGACACATTTTTCAAGACAACGCGGCCGGACTATTTTTCAAGATGGTTACCAGCTTTTTTCAAAATGGCCGCCACTTGGACTCAGGAAATGACATATTGGCTTCTTATGGGCAAGATGCAACAGAAAATGAGACCAAAATGATGTAACTATGCAGAACCGAACATCTCTTCTGCGCAATTGCACCATATTTAAAAAAAAAAAAAAAAAAAAAAAAAAAGGAGGCGGCCTCTAAAAAGGAAGTGGGCGGGGACGCTAAACATGTTTTTTTCTTTACTTCGCCTTATGTTAAAATGGACATAACAATTAACATTGGGTATTTTGTTTTGGCGTACATGTACATATTCAAATCAAAATAGGAAATGTAGTATCCATCAGGTTACTAATTTAATCAGAGAAGTTGTGCGATATGTTTTTATTAGATTGTAAATGTATTCGTCTGTTTGTCAAGTTACAAAATCTCCAATAGCCAGTTGTTCTTCACCATTTTTGTACATGTTTGCTATTTGTCAGGTTGTCGGATTACAACTTTCGCGCGCACTGTATACTGTTTTGGTGATCGTGGATAGAACTTTAAAAGGGTGGTAGTGTTTAAAACTGTGTAACTTGAAAAGTACATGAGTGATGTGAATGATTCTTATACTAGCTAAAAGCAAGCTTATGAATTGGGTTTTCAGAACCTAGATTTTGAAAGTGCTACGTGCAGAACTTCACTAAAACAATTATCCTGACATTTGGTGTGTTTTTTTACTCATTTACATTTGTTATTATGACTGATCTGCCACAGGCAGGGCTCCGAATCTCAAAATCTAGACAAGAATGAAGAATTTTGGCAAAAATACGTCAGCTCTGCGACGATGTTTACGGGTCTAGTAATGTTAATAATAAATACGAGCATTACCGTCATGTTTACAGGTTTAATAATGTGAAATATCTCAAGAAAATATCAGTATACTTTGGTTATGTTTCTCTAACATTTAATATCTTAGCCAAATTGTGTTCTTTCTTTTACAATCACAGAGCCACCAAGATCTTCGCGACAAGCTTTATCGAAGTCATCAATTCGAAAGCAAGAAGGAATTGCCATGATAAGTGGAACAATGTCAAGATCGATGCTGCAGAAGTTGCGTGAGCTCCACCCACCGGACGTCATGCCCAATGGCAATGTTGGCACGCCAACCTCTGTCTTCAGTCAGCTGATCAAAGAGTGCCGACTTCCTCCCCGGGTCATTAATCAGCTGGGAATCGTTTTCCCAAAGAGTCGTTCCAACAAAAGATATGGGAATGTGGCATATGTTTATGATGGGGAGATCTATGTTGCTGAAGAAGAAGAAGAAGTAGAAAAAGATGTGGCTACAGGGAGTGGTTATACATTACGCCGGGACAAGAGGACATGTTTGAGTCAGAACCAGGTCTCAAATCAAGTGCAGGACAAGAAAAAGAAGAAGAAAGAAAGAAAACACAGCAAGACAAAGAAGCAGAAAACAGGCCTTGACAACATCAGCAGCAGCAATAATTGTCTTTCTCCCCCAAAATCAGACAAGGTAAGTATCAATAAAAAAGATTGGGTTTTTTTGTAACCTTAACCCCCTAGTAGCTTCCCAGGACTACCCTGCTAAATCCAACAGAGTCCAACGTTACTCATGTGAGTTTCCCGCTTAATCCCATACAACCCTACTTGCCAAGTTGTTGGGCACCTGAAAATTTATGACTGGCATGCTCAATCCAACAGAATCCAACTGTGCATTATTTTTCTGTTTGGTGCTGGATCCAACAGAGTCCAACTTGGCATTATGAGTACCCAACAGAATCCGACTCTGAATGTTTTCAGTTGCCGGGATGAATTCCTCACTAGTATGTCAGTTATCTGCCACTAAACACATCAGTGTTCACCTCACCTTGTGATTTCACCTAAGACGAATCCAGAAAGCTCTGGCAGTGTGAAGAAATTTTCAGAAAAATTGGTTTTCTTAGAGCACACTAACTTCTGTACATTAATACCCAATGATAATGCAATGATGATACTTTAAATACATCAAATAGTCCCTTACTGGCAACGATCGTTTGACTAGTGTAGCAGATAAGGCTGGTGTGATAAGATTGCGGGTTCGAATCACGGTGGAGTAAGTAACTGGTAAATAAAGAGGATTGGAGGAGGGTAGATAGTGAGAGTCCAGGAGGGAAAATAGATGAAAGAACCATAGAAAGTAACTTTTTGGCGCTTGAAAATTGATTGAAAAAAAAAGTGACGTATGTGTATGGAAAACTTTCCTAGTTGCCTGCTGAATCCAACATATGTCCACAGAGATATACAAGGGGTTTACTGCTCAATCCAACAGGCCCCAGCGGGCACGGTATGTCAAATACATGTAGTTGGATCCTGGTGGATTGAGCTGGGTTAATCCCCATGCTGTCAAACTCAAACACCAGGGTTTGCCGGAGTATATGTTAGAGTGAGTACTGTACAGTAAACTGATTATGCTTGGGTTCAAACTTCAAAGGCATACCACCAACAATCATAGTCCAACAGTTTTTGTGTGCAGTTTACCATGGTGTTGGAATATCTTGTAAATCGCCTTAGGAGGTAAGGGTTAAAAGAAAGACTTAACTTTGTGAGTCATTGAACTGTTCCAAAACCACTTAGCCTACTTCTCAACATTATTCTGAAAACTGCTTTTAAATGGGCAGAGTGGTTCAGCAACAGTGAGAGTACAGGTACATGTATGCTCTAGAACTTCCAGCGTTTGTTCATGATGGTCATTTGATATCCCTAAGCAAGACACATTGTCACAATCTCAATTCAGAGTAGCTTTGTTGGGAAATGATTGACCTTGCAGTACAACCATCAGTTTCTGTGAGTATAATATGGTCATTGTGGTTTGAAGAGATGAATGATCAAAAGTGCACTGATGCCATAAATAAGACTTGGTTTCACTTCTCCCCATCTCTCCTCAGGATGATGACTCTGGTGAGGAATGGGATCGTCATGAAGCCTTGCACAATGACGTGACCAATCAGGAGAGGACAACGGAGCGCCTGTTTGAGAGTGAGATGGAGGTCACCTGGGACAAGGGAAGCAGTGGACTTGTCTTCTACACCGACGCTGCATTCTGGGACAAGCAAGACGGCGGTATGGTTTTTAATGTTTTACCAGGGGACCGGGGCCCAATTTCGGGGTTCTGGGCCCAATTTCACGGCACTGCTAAGCACAACAATTTGCTTAGCACAAAAAAGTCTGGCTTATAAAAGCAGGTTATCAGCCAAAACGCCATGTGATTTTGATGCTAAGCAAACAACAGCTGAATACTAATCACCAGCAATATACATCACATGGAGTTTTGGCTGGTAACCTGCTTGTATAAGCCAGACTTTTTTTGTGCAAAGCAAGTTTTTGTGCTTAGCAGTGCCGTGAAATTGGCCCCTGGTCACCATCAAATTCATCATTTTAGATCCCCATTTTGTGCTTAAGGCACATAAATTCTGTCATAATCTTGAATGTGTTAAAATCAGGCCTGGGCCTATACATTTTGTAAGTCATTTTGTCATCTAAACAAAGTTTTGGGAGACACTCACCAGTCCTTAATCCTGTATGACCGTAGACTCGTAGACCGGTTTGACTGTAGACCCATAGTCCAGTATGTTTGTTAAAGTTTCGGTTAAGTTTGTATAAATTCTACATGCTGTCAATGATTTCGATGAAACTTAGATGCAGTGACCCTTGGGTGGGAAGACACAATTCTTCATCAGATTACTGAGGTCAAAGGTCATGTAGGGGTCATTAGAGGTCATTGTTCAAATATGCTTCAAATCTTTCTTTGTCTACAGAATGTGATGGATGTTAATGTAACTTGAATGGAGTGATCCTTTGGTGTGGGTTCAATCACAAGTCTTCCGAAATCAGAGGTCAAAGCTCATCTGGGGGTCATTTGAGGTCGTTGTTTAAAAATGCACAAAACTTGACTTCTTTTAAGAACACCAAACATATAGGGATCAACCGCAGAAGAAGGCAACACATGCAATCTGCGGATCACTTGTTTTTAAGGAGCTGTGACCAAGAATGAAGCAAAATATTTGGTCACAAAAGCTCTGTGTAATGCCAAGGAAAAGTGTTGTAGAATTGTTAGAGGCTTATACATGTAGATTAATTTATCAATTGCTAAAGTCATATTTATCCTTTCCCCTGGGACAAGAAGGATGATTGGGCCCTCATGTGTCAGTCACAATGTTTTTAATATGCATACTTGGTGCATTTCTTTAAACTTCAACTTAAACAGCCAACTTTTTACTGACATTGGTGTTTTTACAGATTTTGATGAGAAAACTGCAGATGACTGGGATGTTGACATGAGTGGCTACAATGACCCAGGTTAGTCAATTGTTTGGTTTTATCCACATGTACGTGCAAATATGATTTTGTCATTTGATGTTTTAGGCATCATTCCATATCACATGTAACATGCGGGAATAACTCATGAGCTTCGTCGGGTGAGAATTGAACACTTACTTCTTTAAAACTGTAGACAGCTAAGCCACAAGAACAGTGTGATGAAGCCTGGCTTACACAAAATTTATTTAACTCTAACATACCTGCATCCATCAAAATCCACACCCCTGTTTTGGAGGATTTCGGCGGATTCAGGATACCTCCATATTGAAAAAGTTGGGAGATTGTGATGGATTCAGGACAGTAAGCCTAGCGATACTGCAGGATTTTGATGGATTCAGGATACCTCCACATTGAGCAGTTGGGGGACTTTGATGGATTCAGGATCTCAAAAGTTTAACACCTTGGCTAAATGTTTGGTGTGTACGAGGCATATGTACTACACTGGTGGATTCTGATGGACTCACTGGTGGATTCTGATGGACCCAGGCCACCAACGTTTTTGTGTATGACAAAATCAGAGGATTTTGGCAGATTCAGGATACTTTCTAGTGAAAGTGCTCAAGGGGTTATGGTTAAACCTCTTAAGCCGGCCTCAGGTCGACCTTGCAACGACACAGATCAGTCGGCGACTGACTTTTCAGGATCAAGCTGCGTCTGAGCTACGACCGTCAGAAACATTTCAGTCGTCGATTTTTTTTGCGACCTGAGTGTAACTGCGATGATATTAAGACGATCGGCATCAGTTGGCGCTAAAAAAATCAACAGTCGCAAGAGTAGAAAAATTTCAACTTCTGCGACGCATGTTCCGCGACAACCACACGATATCAGTTTTGTGACCTGAGCATAATTGTTGTGCTTGATGCCGACGGTTCCGTCGTGGCGCAAGGAAATCGTGGGTCGACCTGAGGCCGGCTTTAATAATTATATAATTATCCCTCCCTCTCTCATCAGTGACGATGTTTAGTGAGTAACCATATGGATCAAAATCTATCAGGTTACTATTTTGAACAGGTCTGTAAACTGGCCTCATATTGGTACTATTGACAGGTTAAAATGGCTGCTACACAAGCTGTACCAGTATTAATGGTCAACCAATCTGTTAAACCACTTAAACGGGCAGTTATACAGTGTAATCCGTAAGGATTTGCGATAGTTGTTGACCACTGACCAGCCTGTACAAAAACTATTGAGAGAGGTAGGGGTTGGGGTTTTTGATAGTTTGTGATAGTATACAAATATTGAGTGGCTCAGAATGGAATGGCAGGAATATTATTTCAAGGTAAAATCTGGACTTTCTTATTTCACAAGGCAAAGCCCAGTGAAATGGAAAGTCCAGATTTTACCGAATGATAATATTCCTCCCATTTCACAATTTAAAGACACTCAATATTTGTTTTATATAGCTGACATACAACATGTACATGTATGTCATTTGATTTACAGTTAAAATGAACTTCTATTTTAATGCAAAATTGGTGGGAAATGTATTTCCCTCTTCCATTTCCAAACCACCCCTTCACGAAATGTTTCAACAACTTCAAGAAGAAAACGGATGATTGTGGAGGATTGAGGCTGAATGCAATTTGTACATGGTGGCAATCAGAAGATGTTGCAGGATTAAGGATGGTTCCTACCCAAAAGGGTCTAGGGGGTTACCAGCCAGAATGGGTTACCGGCCAAAAAGTCATGTGATGTTTTGCATTCATTACTGCTTCTCAGCTCAGTACATTGTAAATCACTAGGCATTATTTTCTGCTTTGCAAATAAATGAAGTTGGGCTCATGTGTTGATGTGCCGTGGTACATGGGTTCGAATCCTGACGGGGAACATGGTGCTTGTGTGCTTGGGCAAGGCACTTTACCACGATTGCTTCTCTCCACCCAGGTGTAGTAAATGGGTACCTGGTAGGAAGAAATTCCTTCAATGCTTGAGCGCTGTAATGGTAGCCGTGCTAAAGCCAGGGTAATAATGAAGCGCCAGGAGCGTCACTTCGTGACGGACATGAGCACTATACAAGACGCCATTATTATTATTACTTGTATGTGTCTGAATTATCTTTAAGATGGAGGGGATAAAGATGCTCGTGACTTCATTCAGATGAGAGAACAGCAGAGAAGACTTGAGGGAGTAGAGATTGTTAGTGCCTTCTCCCCAGACAAATTCAACAAGAAAGAGATGAGAGAAAGGAGACGGAGAGCAAGGCTGAGAGACGAGATGGACAAGAGAATTGCTGAGGACTTAGCACGACCCATGGGAGAATTTGAGAAACACTCAAAAGTAAGTCCTCTCCTTAGTCTGTAAGTTAGTACAGTGCTTCGCTCACCATCAGTTAAAGCGAATATACATTTGCACACATTAAAAACAAAACTACCAAATTATTATAAAATATCTTAACCCTAACCGAACTCAACCCATCAAAGTTCAACAGCAGGTTTTGTTTAAAGAGGTTGTGGAATGCTCAAAGACATTTCCGTCATTTTTCGGGTATATGTAGCCTAAGGTGTGATGAAATAAAACAACTATTGTTTCTGTCATAAAATGAGTACAAAAGGTACATTTGAGAGCTGTTTTTCAAGTCCTGTCATGCCTGTTTCGACCCGAACGTGCAATTTGTGTAAAAGTCGTCGTTGCGGGCAGCAAACAAAACACAGTAAATCGTGACGTAATAAACAGGACTCCCGATGCAGAGTAGCATAAACGAGTCCGTTTATTACGTCACGATTTACTGTGTTTTGTTTGCTGCCCGCAACGACGACTTTAACACAAATTGCACGTTCGGGTCGAAACAGGACCTGAAAAATAGCTCTCAAAAGTACCCTTTGTACTCATTTCATGACAGAAACAATAGTCGTTTTTATTTCATCACACCTTAGACTACATATACCCAAAAAATGACGGAAATGTCTTCAAGCATTCCACAACCTCTTTAAATCAGTTGGGATAGGTAGAGTACCCTTAAACTGATGGTCTTTTACACTGGGGTTGGCATACCTCCAGAAACTAAGTCCAACAGTGTGTGTGTACAATTTCCCATGTGGGTGTTGGAATTTGCCAGAATGGGTATGGTTCCTAGGAAATTAGGCTGGGGAGTTAGGGTTAATGAACTGTTTAGTGAATGACAGTCTAAAGCATCTTGTAAAATCATGGCAATTGGTGTGCTGACATTCTCAAGAAAGGTTTAATTTTTGTATCAATTTCCTACAATGGTTGGCCAGCCATGGTTGGAATAAAACTGGCGTGTTTTTTTTTCAAGTAATGCGAGTAGAACATACGCAAACAACCTAAGCGCGTCATAACAGTTCAAAAACGTCACAGCAAAAAGCATCTGCAGCAGATATGCGCACGCGTTGCGCTGTTTGTGCAGAGCAGAATGAAAAGCTTGTTTGCTGATCGTGTGTTGCGGTTTTGGGCGTATCAACTTCGGAATACAAACGCAGATATGCAAATGGCCGTACAAAAGCCATACACAATTTCAAGTTCTCCATAGGTTTGTGCACAAACATGGATGCGCCCAGCAGGCATCACTTTGTACGCGAGTCAGCGCTCTAGTAATTTAATATAGCTCTATGGGGAAGACACAAGCAAAATCAAGGGTTAAGGAGAGGGTCATGGGCTGGGGTGAAACTGCATTCAGAAATTCTTACATTGTATGTTGAAACTTCACCTTGTCAAAATGAATAAAACCTTACCAATTTCTATTTATTGCCAGGGTTTTGGGAGGAAGTTGATGGAAGCACAAGGTTGGAAGGAAGGTGAAGGATTAGGGAAGGATGGAAACAAAGGAATGGAATCGGCATTACACAACGAAGGACAGAACAGCTTTGATAAAAGAGGCATTGGGTAAGGTTTAGATGCTTTACTGAAGTTTATTCATCTATCAATCAATAACTTTAATTAAGTATAGATATTTACATCATATATCGCAGCATTGTCTCAGGACATTCCCTCATACAGACGGGGTCCGCTCATAAGTCCGACGCCTCATAGGTCCGACGCCTCATGAGTCCGACAAAATCGCATCCCAGTAACCAAATAAAGGCCCATAAGTCCGACGCCTCATTGGTCCGACGCCTCATAAGTCCAACGCCTCATAGCTCCGACGCCTCATAGCTCCGACGCCACGTAAGTCCGACAAATTAAACGCCTCGTTTTTCTGTTGTCGGACCTCTGAGGCGGAATAAATAAATTTTATGCCTCATAAGTCCGACGCCTCATAAGTCAGAAATTTCGGACTTATGAGGCGTCGGACCTATGAGGCGTCGGACTTATGATACGGCCCCATACAGTGGACTGGAAATCACTGTGTGCTTTTCTTGTCTTGAATAAATCAGTATTAAAGATAGGGTAGATCATTTGTCATTTGTTCATTTTCTTCTTTTTCGTTTGAAGCAACAAAACTGCTCAAAATCTAAAGACGGGAAAACGACTAACCTGATGAAGTTTTAGCTCAGTGAATGCTGTATATTCCGAGAAAACAATATTCTAGGATCTCCATTTCAATTCAAAAGTTGCTGAGTTATGTTTTGAATTGCACACGAAATCAGCATCCGGGACACGTTCTCATTCAGCCGATTGCAGCTACGCGGTGTAATGCACTCAACAGATGAATAACAGCAATATTTTCGCACACCCATTCACAGATTTGCGGAATAACCAACTAACTACTGTACTTGCGGAAATTTCCAAAAAATGTGTCACTTGGCACATCTTTGGAAATGGGCTTCTTTTATTGTTTTCTTCAAAATGATAGCATGCCAGGAAGAACAAATTCACAGGGAGTTTATTGCCATTACTATCTTTAAACCAAGTAAGCTTGGTCAGGTACTTTTTGGACAGTTGCAAATGATCTGCCAGTACTCTACCTTTATTATGTTCATAAAACAGTGGATCTTTCTTGTAAAGTTTTTGTATTTAATCTTGTATACCAAATGTGGCGACTAGAGATGCGACACACAAGGGTTTACTTAGAACCATCAAGAGACGGGGCATCAAAGGGTTGAAAGTCTTCCTGCAGTTACAGGATTTCCTGTTTTTTATAGAATTGATGGTAGCTAATGATGTGCATCGGGTCGGGTTGACCAGGCCAAACCGACCCGAAAATTACAGATATAAACCGAATCGGAACCGAAACCGATTTTAACCCCCTCAAACCAACCTGACCTGACAAAAAATAAGGTAGAACCGACCCGGACTCAAACCTACCCTCAAAACCCCCCAAATATCTGGCTTGGACAAAGTGATCACTTTTTTTATGTCTATTATGGTTGATGAATTTGGTTTTAATACCAGTAATAGGAAATCAAGCTGCTGATGACAGGTAGAATGCATGTTAACCATCGAGAGTAACTCCGCTTATGGAACAAATGCATTGCATCACCACGCGGTATCATAAAAAACTGTTACAATCTATCTATTTCACTGTCAGTCCCGATCCGACTGGAGAAATTCATAACGTGGGAGCTTGATAGTGCGCACATTGGCCAACTGTTTTGGGGGTTTTTTTTCCAGTATTTTTTTTTCAGTTTATTGGCGAGCTGCGAAGCAGATGCGAGCCTATGTAATACCGATTTCCGTCCGTCTGTCCGGGCGCCCGTCCGTCCGTCCGTCCGGCCGTCCGCGTTCAGATAAAAATGTTGAAGTTTTTGGTTCTAGTTAACTTGGGAAAAAAAAATTAAATGCAGTTGTCATGTATCATCTTTATAACTTCAGTTAGGTTCATATCATTGCATTAAATTTTATGATTTTATTGAGGAATTTTAATTCAAGGAAATGTTAAAGTTTTTAACTGTTACATGTACATGTATACTGGTATAACATGTACGTGTGTGTATACCGGTATAACATGTACATGTACACTATGCATTTTGGGGATGTGCATGAGCTTCTGGTTTGATCTTTTAGTTTATGGGGTTGGAGTAGGGATGGGTTAGGGGAGGGGTGGGGTGGGGTGGGGTGGGATGGGGTGGGGTGGGGTGGGGTGGGGTGGGGTGGGGTGGGGTGGGGTGGGTTGGGTTGGGGTGGGGTGGGGTGGGGTGGGGTGGGGTGGGGTGGGGTGGGGTGGGGTGTAGGGTTGGAGTTAGGGTTTGTGTGAGTAGGATGAGTAGGGGAGCTAGGATGGGTGGGGCGGGGTGGGTTGGGGTGGGGAGATGGGTTGGAATACTGGGTTTGGGTGGGGTGGGGATTTGTAGGGGTGGGGTGGGAACAGGTAGGGAGAGGCAGGTAGGGAGAGGATGGGCATGGATGTAGGGGTTGGGTTAGGAGGGGCTGGGCAGGGGGCGGGATTTAGGATCGGAGTAGGGGTTGGGTTGGGGATGTGTAGGGATGGGTAGGGATGGGTTGTAGGGGTTGGATAAGGGGAGGGGGCAGTATATAGGGATCAGAGTAGGGGTTGCATGGGGTCAGGTGGGGATGTATGGGTGGGGGAATGGGTGGGCGGGATATTGGAATTCGAGTAAGGGTTAGGATGGGGATGTGTAGGGTGGGTAAGGACAGATAAGGGAAGATAGGGTAGGTGGGTGTAGGGGGTTGGGGTAGGGGTAAGGTTCGGGGGAGGTGGTGATGGTGCTGTGTCTACATGTACATGTATACCCATTCTTGTTCTGCATTTGTGGCGACTACACAAGAGTTTTCCCATGGTACTACAAGTATGGGGACCAGAAGACACTGTTGGGGCTGCAAAAATCCACAAGTGGGTCCTAATTACCCTAGCAATGGAAAACTCCCCCATAATACAGTGACGGCTAACCTATATACATATGTATTTATTAGGTAATCTGTTAACTTTTTATGTTGACATTTAAAAACTGACCCCCACACCTAGGCACATCAACAAGAATCCTGATCCCCTTCCATCATGCCCATCCTCAACCCTACCTTCAGCCTCCCTTCCTGCCTTGGACAGCGAGCCATGGCGGCTTCGCCGTTCTAGTTTCAGTTTTTTTTTCAAAAGATGGCTCAACTGACCAGACCGGACCCAAATATGTAAATGCAAAACTGAAACCGACCCGACCCGACTGAAAAGATGGACAAACCGAACCGAAACCGACTAACACCGACCTGACCAAAAGTCAGTTTCAGGTCGGGTCAGTTTCGTGTCGGGTTTGCACAACATTGACGGTAGCATTAGCAACTCCATGTTCTTTCCTTGTACATGTATACCTCAAATTGCGTGCATAAACACATGTACTTGTACAATGTAAGTCAGAACCCTCTTTCATCCCTGTCATTGTAAAATGTTATTGTGTATTGTAAGAAAATAAAAGTTACTTCCTAATTCATGTTTCTTTTCTGTTCTAGATATTACGGGAAGCAGCTGTCACCAACTAAAAGTTCCCAGCCTGCCTTTAAAAGACCTAAAAAAGGCAAAAGAGCGGTCCTGATCTCAACCATCTACGATGACCCTGAGGTGACTGACCCCATGGAACGGCTGCTCAGATCCCAAGGACCGAACAGTTTGAAATTTAGAAACAATGTGAACTTCACCAAAGCTGCGGGCACAGACTTGAAAAGATTGCATAGTGTACCTGAAAAGGAAAAGCCAACCGTTAATTAAAACATGTTACAAAGTTACATTTATTTATATTTTTCTAAGATAATATATATGATGTTAATTTAAACCAGTTCAAACAGTTCATTTTTTTTTTCTTAAAGGGGCACTAGGTCCTGAAATCCCCCAAAATGTTACGTTTTGGATTGTTTACTTAGCCTATTTCAAACATCTGGTTGAAAGGAAACCAACCTAATGTCTTACCGTTACTGGGAAAAGACCAAAAAAACCCGCTTGTTTACATCGGACATGACGGAGTACGAATATGTTTTTCGTGTCTTTCTCAGTGTACACTATACACGTTGTGTGTCTCGGGAACAGCGCGTGGTGACCAATCGCCAATGCAAAAAATTGTGGTTTCTTCAACGTCCGCAAAAGGCGAACACTGTACGCTTACGAATGAAATCACAACTAGCATCCAAACAGCTCGAATTTTGGGGGTAGCAAAAGTGGACCCCGAAATTCGTTCTCGCACGCATAATACAGGAGTAACACAAAAACGCCCAGTTTTTGAGGGATAGTTGTGTGGATGTTTATATCCTACTTTTAGATGTTATTTCCGATTATCATCATCTCGTTCGAAGCGCGTTTTGTAGCCCAATTGGGCTGTTCCAGGACCTAGTGTCCCTTTAAGTAAATGCCTCTGTTCTTCAAAAGCACAAGACAAGTCTCAATTTAGAATACATACAGAATGCTCAAAACTGCAACGAATAGTGTTTTTGTCAGTCTTCTGTAATAGTTTTAAGCACAAGTTTTCCTAGTCCAGTTTGAATGATGTCTTCGTTGCATTACGACTGACGTCCGGGGTATGGCCTGCTGCCATAGCAAAAATAAATCACAACAAATTGTTTTCGTGATGGAGGAAGCTGAAACATTACAAAAATGTTTGATTTAGAAAGAGTAAATATGTCCGTGGGTGACGTGTTACAGAAAATAAATTGCAGATCAACGCTTTCGTTGTAAACATCCTCAGTACGTGTGAATACTTACGTGAGCATGTACGCCCTGCATAGTGTGCGCGCAAGTCTTTCCACGAGAAGTGCGTACTGAGGATGTTTACAGCGAAAGCGTTGCTCACAGACATTTACTTTTTCTAAACCAAACATTTGAAATTCTGGACCAAAACCATCTTTTGACACAAGGAATATGTAAACAAAAAATTTAGCTTCTTCCAGGTAAAAATATGAAAACAGTTTATTTTCATTTTTGTTGCTATAGCAGCAGAAGTTCATACCCTGGACTCAGTCACGTATACACAACGAAGGAGTCCAACCTCGGCTAAGGTGTTTCATATATGCCATGATGCCAGCAAAAAGGCCAAGCTTTGTTTGTATAACTGTACATCACTGTTGGGAGACAAAGAATGGACAGGAAGAAATTACGTCAATTTACAACACGTGAAATACATACAGTGCATGGCATTGCATATTGTTGGTCAACATTACCCTTTTGAATTTCAGTGCTATGAATGGTATGCAATGTATGCATATTGTATACCCTCAATTCTTTGTCTTCCCTTCATTTCATGTTGTAAACGAAGTTTGACCTTTGATGACAAAACTACCTTTTAGACTTTTTTCCTATTTTGTTCAAAATGAAAAGTCAAATCCTTGTCCTAGTTTTTCTTAAAATGCGTTTCTTGATGAATGTTACAAAACTATTTGTTGGGCACCATCAGATAGTATTGAGAATATGTCTTATTGTTACAACACTGAGAAGAAATTACGTCTAACAAGTTTACTGTGCTAAGAGATGTCAGAACTTTTGTTATCAGAACTTTTGTTAAAAGTTCCTTTTGCATTTAGTAATATATCCATGAGTTTTGGATATTCATGTTCATGTAGGTTAAAAGTTTGAATCTTCATAAAAGAAACCAAACCCAAATGCTTTTTATAACTCCACATGGACTGTGTACAGCTCAGCCAACAATCCTTCCATTCCTTGTGAGCATGATTAACTTGCTACATTATGATAAATAAATGTCACAACACTTTATTTTTTTGTTCTGGTATTTTAATTCTTTTGGTGGTTTAAGAAACTTTCTTCAGAGGCACATGTATGTCCACAATTAAGGGGAAAAACACAAGATTTGTACATTTATATTTCTGAAAAAAAAAAAATGTATCCAGACACCACTTCTTTTGTTGTGAACAAAGTGCAATGACTGACCTTCATTGAAATTTGAAAATGACAAAAAAGTGGCGTCAGGATGCAGCATTCTTTCTGGTCTTTCTAATGAACTTTAATGTGCAGAGAAACTTGTCAGCCCTGAACCCAGGATTCATTCATTCATTCCTTTCTGTTTTATTGTTAAAAATAGTCTTCAAAGGAAAAGTCCCAAGGACTAAACATATTTGGTTTACAGTAAAACTTTTATATTTACAATAATTGCTAAAAATTATATAAACAGTAAGGTTTGAACAAACATGAACAATAACAGTGACTAACATTACATATAAACATTGAATAATAAGAATAAATACAAATAAGGACGTTTGACATCAAGACGTTTGACATCCTGAAAGTTCCTAAATTCAACGGACCAATCAATGTAAGCCTTGCCCCCCCCCCCCCCCCCCCCCCAATGTTTGGACCAATCATGGCCCTTATTAACCCTAACCCCCTGGCTTGATTTACTAGGAACCATACCCATCCTGGCCAATTCCAACACCATATGGAAAACTGCACACGCATATTTCTGACTTTGATTCTGGAGATGCCAACCCAACGGAATAGACCGTCAGTTTAGGGGTACTGTACCCATCCTGACAGATTCCAACAAAAATATGCTGGGGTTTGATGGGTCGAGTTCTGTTTGGGTTTATGTCCAACAAAGATGTGCACCAGTGGAAAGGGCCAAAATGGATTGGTCTGTTTGTTCACCTATCTTCAAGTTAATACTCATCTACTCATACTGTGAAGGGTGTCAACCGATTTTCAAAAGTAGGGAGGGAGGAACATACCTTGATCTGAACTAATGTGAGTGCGAAGCCCTAACAGTGTGGGGTTCAGAGCCTGCTGAACTAGGGGCTGCGAAAAAAAAAATTGGATTCTAGATGCTCTGTGGTGCAATCTGAGGCAATTTTTACCACTTCAACAAATTCTTTTGAGCACAAGATCATCATTTAAACATTTCCGAGTTTGGAGTCATTAAATCAGCTATTCTGAGCTACATTGTATAGAATCAAATGTAGGCTATAAGTCAATTCAGGGACGAAAAAATGGGGGGGGGGGACAAAAGATGTATCCTACCCCCCCCCCCCCTCCCTCTCTTTAAAAAGTGTGGGGGGGGGAACTTGGTTCCCCCTTCCATCGATTGACGCCCGTGTACTTTAAGTTCAGCAAAATATCGTTCCTTTCTTTTTGAAACCAAGCTGTCAGATTATAATTCTGTTAAGATTCAGTGCAGTTCTTTAACCACAGCCAGAAAACTTTCTTCTACATTGCGTTGTCAGATCAAAAGTCGCTTCAGACCCAACCTCGTCCCCAGTGCTTACTTTATTTCCAACCGCGTTTCCAATAGTAAACCCTGGATAGGAAACTTTCTTCCTGTATCCTGATTGGATACCGCAATTGGCTAGTAATGGATTTTTATCGTGTACTTGGTGCTATTATTCACAACGTGCAGTACGTGTTTTTGCGATCATTCGTCCACGCCTGCTCGAAAATACTAATTTCCTTTCCAATTTGCTCATATTAATATGAAATATGATACTGCATGTTGTCTCGATAAGGTCGTTACAGTTTGATTTCAAAAATCGTGTTTTCGTAACTCACGCCGTGCTCGCGCTGCTACAAATTGACTCTGTTTTTACCCCAGACACCGCATACAAAAACAAACGCTAATGTGTAACGCATATCCAGGCACCAGACTGTTCCTCATTTGCATACGTGTTCAAAAATCTTGCACATGCAAATGATCCAATACCAGGGTGAGAGAGCAGGTAGTGGTGGGCGCGTACTGCTCGACACCCTGGGGACGAGGTTGCTTCAGACCAATATCATGTTGCAACCATTTCAGTCGCGTTCCCTGTATCCAATAACAGTACTGAATGTTTTTTGTGTGCAAAAAGGAACCAGACTAGTTTTCCTTCCAACCTCGCCTTGATTACATTGATTTGAATGGGACAAAATCAAATGGCTGCAACATGATAATGGTCTATTCTTCCAATTTACAAGGCTAAACATGTTTTTCCTCTGTTCATGTTCCCATATCGTTGCTGAGCGCAGCTCCTAACTGCTGGAAATCTCTATGAACACTTTGAATCATTGCTCCTGCCTCCTTGCGTGTCATTGGTCGGATGTTTTCAGTCCCAGCTATTCCTTGTCTCTTAGCATCCTGGGCAAGCAACTTCTCCATCTTAGAGGCCATGTGACGGCACTGCTCTGATCGCTGGCTAATCCGAAGACGTCTCGCTGCCTCATGCTCCTAGCAGACGGCACGCAGACAGAAAGAAATGGAGTAAATTCACCTCTAGCCTCTTGTGATATGAAAGAAAGATTTGAGAAAATGATGGGGACAAATGTACCTCATGTACAGAGTGTCCCCCCTTTTTTTATTCAAACATTGAAATTGAATTACCACTAAATATTAATACCACCACATGAGTTGTAAGTTTTTGAATGTTGAAAATATTAGCAAAAATACAATTCAAATTGAACAAGTGTGACAACATCATTAGGGCTACCTCTTTGTTTCTCTGAGCTCGAAGCTGTTTTTCTTCCAATTTTTGTGATCGCTCTTCGGCATCAACTTCAGCATTTTTCTGTCCTTTCTTCTCGAATCTCTCTGGCCATTTGGCTTGTGTTGTGGTGCTTGTAGAAACATCCAAAATCACGTCAAAAGTGACCGACGGTGGTACATGCGAAAGGCTTTCAGATGCCATATCCTGATTTCTAGAACTCGCTTCGGCCCGCGGGGCGGCCGGGGATCCACCGACCAAAAAAACTGCAACACTGAGTGCAAGTGCCCCGAGCGAGTGTCTATGTCGATACAAAATAACCGAACTCGAATCAAACTAAATACTGACGATACTAAGCTCAAGCACACTCATTGTGGTGACGTACTTAACAACTTGAAGTTCTTTTTAAATCTACCTAGGATTATTGTAATACCTCAGACCAAGTTGTGTACTATTTCCATAGAAACTAACGACGTCGCTGAAGACAAAATAGTGTTCAAATTGTTCAAATTGCGCTATCATTCGATTAAAATCGAATGATAGCGCGCCCTCTATAGTTTCAAGTGACTACAACCATTGATCCCCATACGTGTCAGGTCAACTCGCCTCCTCACCGACTCGCCCCCTGGCCGACTCACCCCTGACTGACTCGCCCCCTGGAAAATTAAGCACCTTACACATTAGAGACACACTCTTGGGGAAAAAAATGGTCCGGTTAACTTATTCCTTATGATGGGACTTGCGGTTTGGCCGAAGTCAATATATAGCGTTATCGGCTGATTGATAAGGTTTACGCACAAAATCCCGAGCCAACGAGGTTTTTGTATAGAAAGCTGCCGAACCACATTTTGCGAGAGTGTGTCCGTAATGCTTGAAGCCTGCCGGTAATGCTGAGCCTGCATACTGCCAAAGTCACCAATGGCATCCCTACATTTTCTCGTGCAAATAGGACCCAATTTTGGACCCTAATTTTATCAAATCTCCTCTTAGATAATAGCTCAAAAGCTAGGGAGATGATCCTCGGCTATATTCGCACGATTCCACAGATTTTTAAACTAGACGGTCTCGTTTTTTACAAAAAAAAATGTGGGGGGGGGGGGCGGGGGGGGCGGGGGAGCACTTTTTATGCAAATTAACGACTCGCGTAGAAATTTTTGAAACCCTAATCAAAATTATTGCGCCCGCTGTCGGTTTTATTGCTCCACTTCTGATATCTTCTGTCTAGCCCCCCCCCCACCACATCGAAAAATAATAGTAATTAAATACTGTTTACAAATGTGCTCGTTTATTCAGAAATTCATGAAGCATATTCAAACTGATTGGATGTTTCCAAAGTGTCTTTCCCATTTGCAAAAGTTCTTTTTAAAAGCCCATGGGGGCATGCAAATTGTGATTTGGCCGGCGTATGCAAATTCGGGTCTTTTTATTGGACAATTTTAAAAGGTAGAACCTAGGAGCCTAGGAGATTTTTTTATTTCCGTTTAAGAGTAAAGATTTCCCTACAAAAATACCTAATTATTTTATATTCCCTGACGTGCCATATGTGCGCACCCCGCCCCCAATCACCCGTAAATAATAAAACGTCATTTCATTTTCAGCTGGGTTTTGTTACTTTTGTAGTAGCTTGACCTCCCCCGCCAACAACTAAAACAAAAATAGGCAAAATACTGACAACCTTCCAAGGATATCAAGTGTCTCACATCTTTCAAGTTTTATTTATTTTGTTTAATTACTTAGTCTTATTGACATACAAATATTTAAACCAATTCATACAAACAAATACAAAAGATTCCAAATGAGGAGAAAAGTTGGGCAGAAGGCCAATAAATTTGAGAAATTAATAATCACTTTAAAATATCAGATGATTATTACATAAGCAACGACTACATGACTGTACACGGTAAAGCCTGGTTTTTGTATTTCGCCATTTTTTGAATAAGATTTTAAAAAGGGAAGATAAAACTTGGGAATGCCCCCCCCCCCCTCCAAAATAATCCTAGATTATTTTGAAACATTTCAGGACTATATTTTGTCTAATTTAGTTATGTGAAAAAATATTTGATGCGAGGCAAGTTCAACACTCGATATATATTGCGTTTATCCTTTTGTGAGGTTAGTTAATTATTAATAAGAAAATGAAAAGACATGCAAAACCACCAAAAACACAATTGTGCATACAAAGTAAATATATGACAAGTAAAAAAAGTGCAATGAAATAATAAATCACAAAAGGACAAGCACAAAGTGTAATTTGAGTGTCATTCATACCTGTTGCAATGCATTTTGATGGATAGAAGTTCCTGAACAGTTTATTCTTTAAATTTTCCTAAAAATTAAACGTTCTTGTGTTTTCTAATAAATATACAATGGAAAGAAAGTCACGTTTTAGTTTAACCGACGTCTTGTTAAAGACGTTAAATTTAAATAAAGTTTGTTACATTTCTTCAGTTTTTAAACAATAAATTAATCATTTTTGAAATCTTTCAAAACTCTTATGACTTAAATTGGTTTTTTAAAAATGCACTTTCAATATCAAATTAAATTTATAAAGCAAAATTCTCCATTGTCAACTGAACAAAAAGCAAATAGAAAGCCTTAGGCGAGACCTCGTTTATAATTTACCGAGAAGATCCAATTGAATGCATTAAAGGTAGTATGAAATTATTAACTTATTGATGCAATAATTTTGGATGACCCAGGACAGATCAAAGGAACATCCCTTCTCCCAGACATGGCACTGCTAAAAAGCCAGTGACAAATCATTACCCTTACAATAATTTTTCAGCAAGTTTCCATTATTGTCCATTGTTAACTGTCTGTTGCAGTATCCGGTTTCAGATTATTTTAGAGGCATAAATAATTTAATGAAATCAAAATTACTTTTCATTTCATTTTAGTGGTGTTGCCTTAGTGTACAACATTAATGACGTTGCATTATGCAGTCTGATTTATCATTTCATATTATGCAAGCTAGTTTTTTTTCTCAAGTTTCCGATGAGGGCATCCTTGTCCAGTAGAGCAGCTTCGTCATTGTCCAGTCTCGTCCAAGCTTGGTGGTCCTAATGTCCTAAACATGACAAAATAAGCAAGCAAATTAAAACAAAAATACATATATTAGGAAATCAAGCACTGTGGATTTTGTAGGAGGGACAAACTACAATCAGAGGAATAACAAATTATAATCTTCATACCCTGGTCTTTTTTCGTTTTCAAAGTAAACTCACCTCAAGAATCAGAAGTGGCCAGGCCAGCAGGCGGTGTCAGTCCATCGTCGGTCCTCCCAGCTTACGATGGCTTGAGGCAGGCTCATCCTCATCTCAGTAAGACAATTCCCTCATCAGTCAGTGGTCCTCATTTCTCTACAAGGATTCAAATGACGAAAAAAAAAATCTGAAATATTAAGAAATATGTGCAAGGAGAAAGAAAACTTCGATTTTTACCCCCCAAAGCAACACAACGCTATGCCAGCACTCGTTGTGGAAGAACACAGAAAAGCGCCAATCACCAATTTTGAGTTCTGTGACTAAGAGGAAGCCTACATGTAAACTAACTTCAAGAATCAGTAATGCGAAGCCCAGCAAGCAGGTCATCCGTTCATCTGTCGGTCCTCCTTCCTGCTTCCGGTTCCTCTAGTTTCTGTGTGATGAGGCTGTTGGAGCCTTGGAGGGTTCATTTTCGTCCAGACAAAGCAGCCTAGCTCATCCAGTCTGTCTCAACTTTTAGATCATTAGTTTCTTTGATGAAAGCTGCAACTCTTTCGTAAGTGGACAGGGGTACGAAAACACCGGGCCTAGCCCATTTGTTACTGAACTGAAACATTGCAAATGTAGCCAATAATTATGTCTAAGCCTACCTATTACCAGGTCATGGGTAGGACCCAATGGAAACCAAACGATTCTACCCATGTTTCCATTATTTCCTTTTTAAAACAGACACGATCACTTTATAATATGCCGACGCTGATAATGGCAGGTTGCTTTGGAAAGTGCATATAACTCGCACACTATAAACAACCATTAAAAGAAATTCAAGTGACATAAAGATGACAAAATGCCATCTTAATCCTTGCCGATCCCTTCCAAATCGGACTTACATTGAACATAGTACGTGTACTATAAGGAAGGAGGGTTACACGTAGGCTAAAATCAACAAGGAAATAGTAGTTTTCTATGTTACTCTAAACCTGTCGCATATCTTGAAATGCTTTCTTTTGAAATTTACGTTAAGTACGGTATACTCGTAGCCCACACAGATTTGATCGTGAAAGTCTATATAAGACCGATCTCTTTAACTACTGCAACGCTTTTTTCCATCATGGTTTTCGTGTTCTCCCCTTCAATAAAACAGCACTGTCGGCCTTATACGTTATCAAAGGTCAAAGTAAGACAACAAAATGAGTAACTCAAAGGAGAAATATATACTTGATGAAAACATGTATCCCTGCCGATCTTTCCAAATCGGACTCACATAAATGATGTAGATGAAGTTTAAACCTTTACAAAAAACACGAAGAAATGTCACATGCGACAGTAAATATGTCGCATGTCTTATACAGCCATTTTCCCTATCGCTTTGTTGTTTACACTTAAGTTGTACCCTTTCACATGCATAACCAGGCTATTTCTGGCCTTTTTGAAGGCAAACCTCTTGACAATGTCACAAATTGCAGGGTTTTTTTCGCTGACGAATAATACTTAGATGTGGTGTAGGCCTAGAACTTGGGGGAATGCCTTTAACATGCTGCTTTAATTGAAATTCAGTCATTTTCTTTACAGCGATATAATGGAGTTTTTCCTTAATATCCGTCAATTTTTTACCTTTTTTTCTGCCGTCATTTTCCCCACCGTCTACCAAAATTCGCTTTCTGACTTTTTTTAAGCAGTGTAGTACCGTACCGGAAGTGGCTGCCGATTATAATTTGATTTTTTTTTAAACATTAGTTCGGCAAATTTTTGCATGGCATAAGGCCTAGAAGTTTAGAAAATTACCGATTTTCAAATATTATTTTCTTTCGCTGCCGCTGTTAATCTTTTTACTCTTTAATTTCGTTCTTCCGCAATCGAGTTTTTTTTACTTTGTAGGTAAGAAAAAGAACACTGATATCAAGTATTATTTCTCTCACTAACGCTGTGATTTTTTTAGCCGTGTAAACTATGTTTCGTCACTTCACTTATAATGCCGCGTTGATTTTCGGTGTAATTTTCGTAATTTTCCTGTAGCTACCGGTAGAAACAGAGTGCCGTGCTGCGAGAAGAAACTCCACGTTCTATGTGATTTTCGTTGTAATTTAATTTGGACCGATTTGATTTTTGTTTCCACGTTTCGTCACACGCGTTTAGTCAAATATTTCGGGTAGGTATCGCAGTAAAGGTAAAAACAACACTGATTTCAGTTATTTTCGGCGTAAATTTCATCATTTTCTCCGCCACTTGTTGGAAGCGGAGAAGCATTTCTATGAGAAGAAAATCCGCTCATGATTTGATTTTCACTGCAATGCATTTTACACACATTTGACTTTTTCTTCAATTTTCGTCATATTCGTTGTCAAATATTTCAGGTACATGTATAGGTATCTCAGTAAGGTTAACAAGTAACAGTGATTTAAGCTATTATTTCTTCCAATAATAGCGGTAACTTTGGCGTAAGAATTCGTATTTTCGTCGTTTTTATGTTTTATAATAATGCAAAATAATATGCAGTCTGATTTTTGATCCAATATTCCGCAAATTGGAAAGTGTCTGATGACGGCATCCTTGTCCAGATAGAGTAGCTTCGTAATTTTCCAGTCTCATCCAAGCTTGGCGGTCCTCATCTTCTAAAACATGACAAAAAGAGTTAACTAGCAAATTTTAGAATTAATATTTAAAGAGGAAATCAAGCATCGTAAGAGGTGACATAGTATTAAATGAATAACAAATTTAAGTGTAGGCCTACATATCCATGGTCTCTTTTCAAGTAAACATACCTCAAGAATCGGTGATGGCCAACCAAGCAGGCAGAGTCAGTCAACCGTTGGTCCTCCCAGCTTATGGCAGCTTGAGGCAGGCTCATCCATCATAGGGCAATTCCCTCACCAGTCAGTGGTCCTCATGTCTGTAAAAAGATTCAAATGACGAAAGAAAATATCCGAATTATTATTAAGAAATATCTGAAAGGTAGAGCAAGAGGAGGGGGGCAGAAATGTTCGAATTAACCCCCCACAAAGCAGTGCCCCACTACCAGCACTCTTTATTTGTGGAAGAACATAGAAGAGCGCCAGATCACCCATTTTGATTACTTGTTGCTGCTTATTCTTTAGGTACATGCAACTAAAACTAACCTCAAGAATTAGTAATGGGGAGCCATTATCAGGAATGGGAAGCCCAGCAATAATTAATTATTATTAAGAAATATCTGAAAGGTAGAGCAAGAGGAGGGGGGCAGAAATGTTCGAATTAACCCCACAAAGCAGTGCCCCACTACCAGCACTCTTTATTTGTGGAAGAACATAGAAGAGCGCCAGATCACCCATTTTGATTACTTGTTTCTGCTTATTCTTTAGGTACATGTAACTAAAACTAACCTCAAGAATTAGTAATGGGGAGCCCAGCAAGCAGGTCATCCGTTCATCTGTCGGTCCTCCTCCCTGCTTCCGGTTCCTCGGGTTTCTGTTTGATGAGGCTGTCGGAGCCCTGACGATGTCTTGAGGCAGGCTCAGCCTCATATCAGTAGAGTAATTCCCTCATCAGTCAGTGGTCCTCACTTTGCTGAAAGGATTCAAATAACGAAAGGAAACATTTGAATTATTGAGCTGTATTCGTGCCTGGGCTCGAAAGGGGAAAGAAAACATTTAATTAAGCCCACAAAGCAAAGCCCTGCTACCAGAACTCGTTTGTAGACGAACATAATAACAGAGTCAAATCGCCCATTTAAATTAGTTCTGTGACTTGATTGTTCCTGTTAAGAGGAGGCCTACATGTAAACAAACCTAATAATAAGTAATGGGAAGCCCAGCAAGCAGATCACCCATTTTGATTACTTGTTTTTGCTTATTCTTTAGGTACATGTAACTCAATACTAACCTCAAGAATTAGTAATGGGAAGCCCAGAAAGCAGGTCATCTGTTCATCTGTCAGTCCTCCTCCCTGCTTCCGGTTTCTCGGGTTTCTGTTTGATGAGGCTGTCGGAGCCCTGACGATGTCTTGAGGCAGGCTCACCCTTTTATCAGTAGAGCAATTCCCTCATCAGTCAGTGGTCCTCACTTTGCTGAAAGGATTCAAATAACAAAAGGAAACATTTGAATTATTGAGCTGTATTCGTGCCAGGGCTCGAAAGGGGAAAGAAAACATTTAATTAAGCCCACAAAGCAAAGCCCTGCTACCAGAACTCGTTTGTGGACGAACATAATAACAGAGTCAGATCGCCCATTTCAATTAGTTGTGTGACTTGATTGTTCCTGTGAAGAGGAGGCCTACATGTAAACTAACCTAATAATCAGGAATGGGAAGCCCAGCAAGCAGGTCATCCGTTCATCTGTCGGTCCTCCTCCCTGCTTCCGGTTCCTCGGGTTTCTGTTTGATGAGGCTGTCGGAGCCCTGACGATGTCTTGAGGCAGGCTCAGCCTCATATCAGTAGAGTAATTCCATCATCAGTCAGTGGTCCTCATTTTTCTGAAAGGATTCAAATGACGAAAGGAAACATTTGAATTATTGAGCTGTATTCGTGCCTGGGCTCGAAAGGGGAAAGAAAACATTTAATTAACCCCACAAAGCAAAGCCCTGCTACCAGAACTCGTTTGTAGACGAACATAATAACAGAGTCAGATCGCCCATTTAAATTAGTTCTGTGACTTGATTGTTCCTGTTAAGAGGAGGCCTACATGTAAACTAACCAAATAATCAGGAATGGGAAGCCCAGCAAGCAGGTCATCCGTTCATCTGTCGGTCCTCCTCCCTGCTTCCGGTTCCTCGGGTTTTTGTTTGATGAGGCTGTCGGAGCCCTGACGATGTCTTGAGGCAGGCTCATCCTCATATCAGTAGAGTAATTCCCTCATCAGTCAGTGGTCCTCACTTTGCTGAAAGGATTCAAATAACGAAAGGAAACATTTGAATTATTGAGCTGTATTCGTGCCAGGGCTCGAAAGGGGAAAGAACACATTTAATTAACCCTACAAAGCAAAGCCCTGCTACCAGAACTCGTTTGTGGACGAACATAATAACAGAGTCAGATCGCCCATTCAAATTAGTTCTGTGACTTGATTGTTCCTGTTAAGAGGAGGACCACATGTAAACTAACCTAATAATCAGGAATGGGAAGCCCAGCAAGCAGATCACCCATTTTGATTACTTGTTTCTGCTTATTCTTTAGGTACATGTAACTAAATACTAACCTCAAGAATTAGTAATTGGAAGCCCAGAAAGCAGGTCATCTGTTCATCTGTCAGTCCTCCTCCCTGCTTCCGGTTTCTCGGGTTTCTGTTTGATGAGGCTGTCGGAGCCCTGACGATGTCTTGAGGCAGGCTCACCCTTTTATCAGTAGAGCAATTCCCTCATCAGTCAGTGGTCCTCACTTTGCTGAAAGGATTCAAATAACAAAAGGAAACATTTGAATTATTGAGCTGTATTCGTGCCAGGGCTCGAAAGGGGAAAGAACACATTTAATTAACCCTACAAAGCAAAGCCCTGCTACCAGAACTCGTTTGTGGACGAACATAATAACAGAGTCAGATCGCCTATTCAAATTAGTTCTGTGACTTGATTGTTCCTGTTAAGAGGAGGACCACATGTAAACTAACCTAATAATCAGGAATGGGAAGCCCAGCAAGTAGGTCATCCGTTCATCTGTCGGTCCTCCTCCCTGCTTCCGGTTCCTCATGTTTCTGTTTGATGAGGCTGTTGGAGCCCTGACGATGTCTTGAGGCAGGCTCATCAATCCCAGTAGAGCAATTCTTCCATCAGTCAGTGGTCCTCATTTTTCTGAAAGGATTCAAATGACGAAAGAAAACATTTGATTTATTGAGCTGTATTCGTGCCAGGGCTGGAAAGGGGAAAGACAACATTGAATTAACACAACAAAGCAAAGCCCCGCTACCAGAACTCGTAGTTTGTGGACGAACATAGAAGAGCGCCAGATCGCCCATTTTGATTTTAGTTCTTGACTGTTTCTGTTTAAGTAGGCTACATGTACACAAACCTGATAGTCGGTAATGGGAAGCCCAGCAAGCAGGTCATCCGTTCATCTGTCAGTCCTCCTCCCTGCTTCCAGTTCCTCGAGTTTCTGTGTGATGAGGCTGTTGGAACCCTAACGATGTCTTGAGGCAGGATCATCAATCTCAGTAAAGCAATTCCCTCATCAGTCAGTGGTCCTCATTTTTCTGAAAGGATACGAAAGAAAACATTTGAATAATTGAGCTATATTTGTGCCAGGGCTAGAAAGGGGAAAGAAAACATTGAATTAACCCCACAAAGCAAAGCCCGCTACCAGAACTCGTGTGTGGAAGAACATTATAACAGAGTCAGATCGCCCATTTTGATGAGTTCTGTGACTTGATTGATCCTGCGAAGAGGAGGCCAACATGTAAACTAACCTCAAGAATCAGTAATGGGTAGCCCAGCAAGCAGGTCATCCGTTCATCTGTCGGTCCTCCTCCCTGCTTCCGGTTCCTGAGTTTCTGTGTGATGAGGCTGTTGGAG